AGTTTTAAAGACAGTTCCGTACCGTACGTATTTTTTAAACAATTTGCTTGTAAATTAATCACGAGTGATAATTACAACGGAAGAAATCCACTCTTATTGTTAACACGATGAAGCGACGCAGCGACACATGCTGTTCGGTTTGGAATTACAGTTTTTAATAAATTGGCTTCACCATTGATAAGTGGCACAACATGAAATTGATTGACGATTACCAAGTTGAACGGAAATGCTGACAAACTTGAGGAAATAAATGATGAACGTAAGATCCGTTTTCGGTATTAATAATAAAAACAAATAAGACTATAATAAACTGGCAATGTGATTTTGAATAACATGATACAATCTCTTGATTTTACTGTTTGAAAGAATCGTTTTCATTTTTTGAAAGTTACTTATTTTATTTATTTTATTAGTCACTTGTTCGCTTTTTACAAGTGCACAAGAGGTTGATGAGACGTTGATATTTTTATTAAGACATTTTCGTTGCGCATTAAAAAAGTATAATTCTTAAGAACATTTGCAAATAAACTGTTCAGTTATGCAAAAAGAGCAATGCTGTTGGTTTTCTTGCGTGCTTTTTACGCCTCTCTGGGTGTTATCTGTCTTGCGTCAATTTTGTAGGCAAATAGGCCGAAAGAAAACTATGACTCATCGATTTAGACGCACTTTAAATCGCCAGGCGACGATGGATCATTTGCAGATACTACGTTACGCGACGCGCAAAGCTATTTGATGCAACGCGAACGACTTTCGCCGCAATGACAAAATTGCGTCACTAACGAGGACGATCGATGCGGCTGATCTGGTATTCTACGTCTAACAGCATTAACACCAAGCACGATAATTACGACGCGTCGAAAATAATTTTGTTTGACTATTAATTATGATTATTAATAATCACGTAATGTCTAACGTAGTAAAACATTAAATGCAACGAAAAATACTAGATTGCTCTTTTCGAGAGAATTCTGCTTTTCTCGAATTTCTCTTTATCACAAATAATCGAGGGGTAAACCGCTGACCAAAATCTTGTACATACATCAATGCCTATACGGAACAGAAAGTTAAAATAATGTTGCTGAAACGTTGCAATGTTGAATGTTGAAGTATAAATGTCTTCTACGTTGATTCTAGGATAATGTTTGTACATTAATTCTTTATATTGCTGCAACGTTAAAACAATCTTGAACAAATTATTATTTTTTGACACTCAAATACATACCTAAAAAAATATTTAAATTATGAAATGCATATATATCTACAATATTTCAGCACTTTCAACAGTTGTAAAAAATATTCTGCTAAACGTGACCAATGTTAACTCAATATAATTTAACAACGTTCTCTGAACGTTGAATTGTAATGTTTACAAGACGTTAGAAGTCAACGGATATTAGACGTTTTTGCAATATCTTTTCAACGTTGAATCTACATTTCGTAACATTGACACAATATTGCAATGTTGTAATGGAACGTTTCTGAGATGTTGATTCAACATTTGTGTGCTGTATGGGATGCCCACTAATGCCCAGTCGGCATTACTTTATCTCACTATCTTATTTATAATATCTCCTTTTATCTTATTTTATCTTATTCTATCGTTATAATGCCCCAAGCCAGACCTAATGCCCAAAAAATGCCTAGTAATCCCGCAAATCTGTACGCCACAATGCCCTCAGCGGTTTTCCCCTTGGAAATAATCGTTCTCAACGTTCTCAAAAGTATAAATCGGCAGTTGTATTTATCATTTGAATGTCAATAACGACTATGTTGAACTTGTATGTTTGGAATCCATACATGTATATATTTGGAACGAGTTACAAATTGTCTCACATTTTTTCAAGTCTTATGTATGTACATACATATATACAGCCTCGGCCATTTTAATGTGTCCATTGAAATATCGCAAAATCTATAAGTTTAAGACGAAAATGTTTCGGACAAAAGTTGCTTGGTTTCGATGAGAACGTAAGATGGTGTCATTAATTTGTCCTTGATTAGTTGCTTGAAGGTCATGTGAAGGTCACCTTCAATTTTTTAAATGAAATTTAAAATTTGTTTATTATACTATCTTAGTTTACTAATTAATATGAACAACTTTGGTTTGAAACATTTTTGTCTTAAACTGATAGATTTTGAGATATTTCAGTGGATACATTAAAATGACCTTACCCTGTATACACATTCCCTAAAAATCGACTTTAAATTAAACGACACGAGAACGTTGCGTCGATATCGATGCTGTATTTAACGTCGAGAGGTCCCCGTTCTTCACCTTGAACCTTTCGTAAAAACCGAATCTTACATCCAAGTTTCCTTAATCATGTCCGCGGCCTTTTCGCCGATCATATATATTCCCGCATTCACGTGGCCCCTAGGCATCGTAGGCATGATCGAAGCGTCCACTACTCTGAGTGCGTCGATACCGTACACTTTGAGCTGCGGATCGACGACCGCGTAAGTGTCTGTCCGAGGCCCCATTTTGACAGTCCCTATTTCGTGATTCATCATGGATGGCAGATGCTTGATGGCACAACGCCAATAATCGTCGGAAGCGAACTCAAACTGTCTACAACCTGGTATCTTAAAGTCGTGCAATCGACTGCCGTAAGCCTGAAAAGCTTTGGTTTGTGATATGTTGATGGCGTGCTTCACTCCCTCCAGAATGATCTCTAGATCGGCCGGATGGCTGAAGAAGTTTGGATCCATTTTAGGGGACTCGAATGGATCCTTCGATCGTAACGTGAGACGGCCGATGCTTCTAGGATATTGCACGATCGGCCAGATCGACCAAGCCTCTTGATGTTCAATCGGTTTATAGACGGCGTCGTACAGATCCTCTGAAATTCTCAGAGCCTCCTTCACGTCCTGACCATTGTCCGAGTGTATAGAGCCAGACACGAAGAGAAGCTCGACGTCTGGTCTCTCGTCAGCAGCGTATTTAGTGTTTACAAAAGCAATCGCCTCAGCACCCCCTGGTAATGTCATTATGCCGTCTCTATGCAAAAGATACTCCAACAACACGCTCGGATTATTCAATTTTTCCTGCAGCAGTGACACGCTCTGATTCACCAAAAAAGTTAATCCAAGGAAACCGACGTGCTCATACATGCTGTAACCGACCTTGGAATCCTGAATTACTGGGATGCTCAATTCTTCGAGATGCTCCCTCGGTCCAATTCCTGACAGCATTAACAATTTCGCCGAGTCGATTGTACCGGCTGACAATAAAATTTCCTTCGAGCAGGTCACCTTTTTCCATACGTTGTCCTTCACATACTCGACACCGTAAGCACGCTTGTTCGCGTCGATTAATACCCTGGTCACTCTAGCACCGGTGATAATCTCCAAGTTCGGTCGATCGATCCGCTCGAGATAAGCTTTAGCGGCGCTACAACGTGTTCCACGATCCATATTTACTTGGAGATACGCGAAACCCATATGATCTTGGCCATTGTAGTCCACGATTTTATACCCCAGCTCTTGTCCGGCATTTAGAAACGCGGTCGCCAGCTCTGTGTGATGTGGCACATGTTCCACGCATAAGTAGCCGTTTTTATTGTGATACGAGGAATTCTTGATGCCTGAGTAGGAACAATAGGAATGTTTCGTCAATCGCTGATCGCTATACAGTATTTGTGAATTTAATCCAGTCTAACAGGACGGATAGGTCCCTTGCGACTTTAGAGTTATCTTGTTCGAATAAATCAGACTGAAATATGTGCTCGAGAAAAGTTTTTAAATAAAAATGAGAAATGTATATTATTTGCAAAAAAAACTTGAGAATGTAAAGCAAAGAACCGTATTATCTTCTATCACGAGAAGAGCAATTTTATTGCCCTGAACTAGCAATTTAACAGTTGAAATGTCTTTTGTAAAGTTTATCGTATACAGAAGTGTCCCATTTTAAACGATTACTTGCACTGTGCACAAAATAGTGAGACGAGTCAATTGATGTAAGGAAAACGCATTGTTACTTTTTCAAAAATTATACTGTTCGTAATATTACATATCAATTACACACCTCATAAAAGTATTAATATTACATAAAAATATTAAGTTACGAGTATAAGAATAATTATTAACGACATATTCGATATTTTGTGTCTCAAAATATAATATAATATGTCTGAAAAAGGCAGGGTTGGGTAAGTTATCTTTTTTTGTTTTTTTAAAACTAAGTTAAGTTAAAGTTAGCAGCCTTGAAAATTTAACTTTCAGTTAGGATACAAGTTAATCCATAATACAATTGATTGAATTAAAAGTTAAGTTAATAATAAAAGAAATTAAAAAGTTAAAAGTTAAATTTGTTTTATTTTTACATAAAATAT